CCCATTCCTCCGGACAGAACTGGTGGAACTGGGTCAGGTTTGTTGGTCTCCTTGCTCCACTAATGTTCTCCAGGATGGAGATCAGGGCTTTGTGATGGCCACTCCACAACACTGACTTTGTTGTCCTGAAGCCTCTCTGTAGCTAATCTGGAGCTATGCTGAGGGTCATTGTCCATCTGAAGACCCATTTAAAGCTTTGACTTCCTGCTGATGTCTGGAGATGTTGCTTCAGTATTTTCACATCATGTTCTTTCCTCATGATGCCATCTATTTAGTGAAGTGCAGCAGTCCCTCCACAGCATGATGCTGCCACCCCCGTGCTCCACAGCTGGGATGGTGTTCTCAGGCTTCAAGCTTCCTCCTTTTTCCTCCAGATGTACCGATGGTCATTAAGGCCAAACATTTGAGGTTTAGTTCCATCAGACCACAGGACATGTCTCCACTGATGAAGCTCTTTGTCCCTGTGTGCATCTTCAAACTGTAATCTGTCCTTTTTATGTTGCCTTTGAATTATTGACTTCTTCCTCTCCTCTGGAAATTGTACCCAAGGATGAACCAGACTTGTGGAGGTCCACAATTCTCTTCCTGACATCTTGGCTGATTTCTTTAGATTTTATCTGACTGGTTTAAATTTTAAGATTAATTCATGAAGCAAATATTATTATGTTGTTGTTTTAACTTTAATATGAATTTACATAATACTATTTTAGTGTCTTAACCTTAATATTTAGAGCAAATCTGTAGTAATTGTACTTCTCTAAAGCACTTCTGCTCACTTCTAAATGGGCTATAAAAATAACAGTGACCTGACTCGACTTTATTGCATCTGAAATAAAGATACGTCTTATCTCAAGTTTAAGACGCACATTTTATACATGAAAATCGAAGCTGCAGAGCTTTTTGTAACTATTGATGCAATAATAATATAAAAGTAAATTAATGGACAAGTACCTTAACAGTGTAATGAGATACAGTACTCTAAGTGTATTTAGTTACTTCCCTCCAGTTGACTCTCTGCCTCTCTGCGCGTCGTCATCGCCGGGCAGCAGCAGTAATAACAGAGGGAGCAGATTCTGGAGCTGCACTGTTATTATCAGGCCCTAAATACTCTCAGCGGAGCGTGTGGATACTTTATAATTACACCGAGGGAAGGGCGGTGGCATTATTTACATTAAAAACATCTGGACGGCTCCTACACAATATATATACGGCACGAAGAGCTAGAACTCTATTAACGCTGCGACAAATAGAGAAACTACAATCTGCAACTGACACTGTTACTGAGACTGATCAGCTCCACGGAGCAGCTTTGTGTCAGTAAACTGAGATTATACGGAGTCAGACAGAACAGGAGAAGCAGCGATGCTCAGAGGAGCGTGAACTATGACGGTTTTCATTCAGTTGCCTCATTAAGCAGAGAAGGTGTCAGACTTTGAGAAACAGGAAGAAACCTTTTCCTCTCGTGCAAACCACAGACCGGCAACACGCAGCGAGAACATGCAGCAGCAGAGACGACTTTAATTCCTCTAAACAAAGTGTGATTTGTAGGATTCTGCATTTTTTCCCCTCATAAGATTTTACTTTTATAAATGTCACTTGATCCCTGTGATAGACTGGTTACCTGTCCAGGTGAACCTGCCTTCACCCTGAGTCAGCTGGGATAGACTCCAGCCCCCCACAACCCTGGTGAAGATTAAACGGTGTATAGATAATGGATAGATGGAAATATAACTTGTTAATATGAGTTTGAACAAGACTGCAGAGCTGCTGGAAGCTCCATGTGATTAAGGTTTAACAATAACAGATCTGCGTGTAGGTTGCAAAAGGCAACAGGAAAATCCGACACCTTTAAAACCACCAACCAGTTCACTTGCCCACGCACTGATGCCAGCTCTGCTAGTGGAACGGAAACCATACTCTGAACGGTTCGGTAGAAAATCAGGAGGAGCTTTCACTTTCAGCCTCAGTGACGCTTCGAGCTCTGGGCTGCATGAAGCTGTTCACAGCTTCAGACTGTTAACGTTGGAAAAGTGACAGGACAGAACAGCTGCATGTACTTCAGTGGCTGAAGCGTCTTTTAGTGAGCAAACCACCGTAACCTCAGTGGATAATGTCCAAACTTAGGCAAATATGAGCAGTAATGTGGTGACGAGTGAAACAGCTACAAAGGAAAATTTAAAGTGAAGTGAAACTGGTTTTCCTATAATGTGGTGTTTTCAATACATTTTGACTAAAGAGCAACACATGACACCAACATGAACAGCGCTTAATAAATGGATGAGACGACCACCCAGTGTACGGTTTGTGCCACAGCTGCCCTCAATTAACAGCATTGGTGATGTTGGTAATGGTTAATACACCAGTACGTAGAAGTTCTTTCACCAAAATGAGATTTTTAATGCTAAAATATAATTAATTGTTATCTATGAGTTTTCAGATTTACTGCTTTACCAAAAAAACAGAAAAAAAACAGTAAAGCACATTATTTTTCCTTGATGAAGACGTCAGATTATAGTTCTTTACTTGCATTCCTGAACACAAAGATTAGTTTTAGTAGTTGGTTGTTATGCTCGATTCATTTCCGACTTCTCAGGGAGGCATAAAAGGTGGATTCAGCTTCATTCCTGTTTAAAATGGTAAAACGTCGACAGCTGAGTACCGTACTGCCAAACAAGCAGCACATCTAATGCTACTGACGTGACTGAAACAACAGCTCAGCGAACCTCAAAGTAATGGATCAACACCTACGAGCTGCTGAATATACTTTCAGTTTCCACACATCTACCAAAAACACCTAATTTAAATAGTTAAGTTGCAAAAAGTTTCCAGCTTTCCCTCCAGTATTTCAGTGCTGCTGCGTCGCTGGCTGCTCCGTTGGCCCCTCCTCCACCCCGACATCCACCTGCTGCCTCTCAGATGGAAGAGATGTTATCATCAATCCCAACTGCTGCTTTAGTAAAACATTTCCAACGTGAGGCGTCTGACAGAAATCATGCAGCTTGTTTTTATGGATGCAGTTAGAAGATTTCTTTGGATA